AGGGGGGATAATTTATCTCTATTCTGACACGATTCTACTCGGCAGAATGAGAAAGGCTCAACCATTTTATTTTCAATCTTTGAGTAACAAGTACTTTTGCTTTTCTCTCGGTGAAACGAATATTACTCTTCGTCATTTTATACTTTTAATAAAGCGCCAATAATCTATAACGAATCCGTGGAATTATTTCAACCATATTGCACTTTTAAACGATTTATATTTTCCATTTACAGATTAATATATTAAATCAACATATTGATATTTCTTTGCGTTAATTTTATCGCTATTTATCATTTAAAAAGTTATTCTATTATGTTCGAGGCCTTTATCAATTTCACTGATATGCTTAAGATATAACGTAAAATATATATACATACACACGTCAAAAGGTATACCAAGCTATTCCTTATATAGATAAAATAATGTACAGTTGAGACGTACTGTTAGAGAATATAAAATAAATATAAATTAAGTACTAGTGAGATATTTTAGGTAAATATGCCGAAAGCCAAGGCAAATTTGGGCATTGTTACTTATTTTATTTAATTAATTTGTACAGCATTTGATTTTGTTTTATTGACTTGAATAGAAAATGCTTATTTAACCGTTTAATTACATAGCCTTACTTATTCGATTTTGTTGATTATCCATTGGAATCACTTGATTAGGCTTTCTTCAATTACAAGTTGTTATTTTATTTATTGATAATTCAAAATTTACTTTTATAACATTGATTTCAGAATAATAATAATAATAATAAAATAGGAAAGACAAAGTGTAAGGTACCGAAATAAAATTAATATAATTAATAATATTTTCATATGATTTCAAATTTAATAGCCTCCACTTAACGGTTGATACGTAGTACTATCGTAAGAAATTTCCGAGTACGTGGTAAGGTCAAGGACCTTCTAATGCTGATTACAGGGCTTTGATTCGAAGATGAATTGCACAATGTATGAAGCTATGGGAGTAAGGAAATACTTTGCCATAATATTATTGACGATTGTCAATCGGCAAACGTGAATCGAACAAAACTTGTGACTAGTTTTCTTTTGTTAGGTTTTTTTTTTTTTTAAAGAAACTTTTATAATTGGCAACTATCATCAGTTAGATTATATTTATCTACTTTATGTAGCAACGGTCT